ACAGAGACTCCTGGGCTACTGGACTTCCTGTATGTATTTAACTCTCAAGGAGCAGCTGCAACATCCCTAGGATATGAACGAGTATACCTAAAGAATTTGTACTTGCGATCTTCTGGTTGATTCCGGAACACTATTCTTTTCTCAAATGTCCCTATCAAGGATGTGGTGGTCCTAAGTACAGAAACATCTCTGATGTTTCCAAAGATTATGAAGGATGCTGCAACTCTGCCTACTAATCACCCAGGAATGACAGTCTTGGTCACAGATGTAACTACAAAGGTAACTAAGGAATATCCATCTAAGCAAGCCGCTGCCAAGGCTTTGGGTGCTGATGTAGCGTCATTCTATAACAATCGAAAGAATCTGTTCCGTGGTACATACGATATTAAGGTAATTCCTAAGAGTAAGAGATAGTGGTAGTGGTACATATGTTATTCCTATGACTCGCATAAGGAACATATAAAGACGCAAAAAAGGTGATACACATTCCGCAGTCTTTGGACAACTATTCCAATATGCTATTCTAGGGTTCGCTCTATCAGAAGCTACTGGACTATTCGCTCTTATGATTTCATTCCTTCTTCTATTCGCTCTATAATCATCTACTCCTTTGCTTAATCAGCCCAGTGTATTTCTCCCTTTCCTCTTTCCCTCCCAACACCAAAGGTGTTGCGGGAGGAGGAGGACTATGAGGGGAGAATACAGCTACCGCTATCCTAACATACAAAAAGCAACCAAGAAGTCTCCAACACCAAAGGTGTTGTAAAACAAAACAGCAAGTGTGTCGAAATTGGTATACGAAGCGTATTTAGGATGCGCTGACTTAAAAGGTCATGAGGGTTCAAGTCCCTCCACTTGTAATAAACAGATTTCATTTATCCCTCTTTACACTATGTTCCCATAATCCTCCGTGTCCCCCAGAGGGGGAAGAGGGCGGAGGTGTAAGCAGGGCTTGCTCCTACTTCCATAGCAGCTGTCCATCGCCTTGCTAGTGCGTAGCATAAAAGGAGGTAGGATAGGGAGCAACTGAGTGATCTTGTCACCAGGCAGGATGGTATGGGCACTGTTAGGCTAACAGTAAACTTCCCCACTTCGGATGGGACAATGGAGGTGCGAATCCTCCACAGTGCTTATTGGCCTAAATACTTGCTTAGCAGATACTAAGATAGTGTCCCCTGGTTACACTCAGTGTATCCTCCGTAGGGGGGCCTCCGGCCCCAGCACAGCAAGTATCATATAATGGCAGTATTTCTGTCTTCCAAACAGAGAGCGCAGGTTCGATTCCTGCTACT